GTAAAAAAAAAAAAAAAAAAAAAAAAAAAAAAAAAAAAAAAAAAAAAAAAAAAAAACAAACAAAAAAAAAACCCTAAAAAAAACCCCCAAAAACCAGAAAATACTGTGATACTGTGTAGCAATGTACTATTTTCCAAGTTCTGTTTATTCTAGCAGCTGAACAGCTCTACTAGCACTCGGTAGTGGAAATTTTAAAAACTCCATAAAACTCTGAGCATGCTCCCTCTAACCCTGCTCCAATAGGGCTCARCATGCCACAGGCATTCTGTGAGCAGCAGAAATTATGAGTCATGTTTGCAACATCCTTTGCCCAAGCAGATTCCTGGAATCTAGCGAGCTAGGAATTTCTATGGTAGCTTTCCTTTTTGTGGGAACATTAGAACCTCTATCTTCTACATAACCACTTATTTTCTATACTGTTAATGTCTCTGACAGATTTGGCTGAMGCTGGACAAGGATTTAAAAAGTAACCAGTGGCAGAGCAGACAGCATATCCACACTGATTTTCTTTCTGCAAGAAATTGAACTAGAAAGTGCTCGTGATTGATCTACTTTGGAGTATCTACCACTGCTAGCAGAGTCTGCAGCTTATAATTCACAAGTGGGGATGACATAGCTTGGGACGGCAGATTATCGACCCCAGCTGTCTGCCCAACACCCAGCACACAAAAGACTCTTCATGAGACAGCTGTGGAATCACTGCCTCTTGCTGAAACGGGCAAACAGTTTACAGCAGCGTTCTCTAAATGGGGTTCAGAGTATTCACAGAGTGTCTCACTATCCAGAAATGTGGTATGGGAATGAAGAATTAGGGCTAGTAACCTCCTGTGCCACCCCCAACAACAGTATCACTTCTTGCAAACCCACTGTGYGCTGCAGTGATGGCAGAAGGTGACCACATGCAACAGAGGGGGCAAAAGGAGGGGGAAAGGGAGGCTTTTTGCATCTGAGAAGGAKCATCAGACATGACACAACCATACATGTAATGCTCCACAACACTTTGTGTTTAAATTAAGGTTTGGATCAGATTTATTGTATTAATTGTAAGGATACTGCACCACTGTGACAGAGGCAGGAATGTAGCTGGAATCCCTACTGAGACAGTATGATGGAGAGTCCTGAGTTGGTGTTCAGCACTGCTTCATGGTGACATACCATATTTTAAAGCAGACGATAATCCATAAAAACAAGCAGTYTTCCTCAGATGACTGGCTATAGGAATGATGTTTATACAAATCCAATATATGTGACATTCATTATCAAACAAGGAACAAAACAGCTTTATGCCACTGAATGTTTCGTCATGAGCAAACTGAGCTTACTATCCACATGGGTATTATTCACTGGGGTAAAATTTTCAGTTTAGTCAATCCCTGTGTAAAAACTGCGACTTTGAGTGAGAGACTGAGGTACACAGGATTTTCCTGTATCACCTGTGAACTAAAGATGTTAGAGATTTTCATCCTTCTTGTCCTGCTTCCCCATATTCTCCACATACCCGGAGAACCGAGACTCGCAGCAAACCGCCCGGGCTGGAAGTCTCCGATCCAGGGGAGCTCCCGACGGGAGCAAGCGGCCCTTACACCCGCGGCCAAGCCGGGAGCCGCCCCGGGGCCGAGGTCGGGTATCCGGGCGCATGCTGGAGCCGCAGCGGCACAGAACCGAGCGGCGGCGAGGCAGGAGGGCACAGGAGGGCACCGCCGCTCCGCCACCCCGGCCCAGCCGAGCAGCCTCCCGCTGCAGCCACCCCTCTCCTTCACCTGCCGGGGCTCCAACGGAGCGCGGACACAGGGGCCGCCGCCGCTTGCCTTCCGCCGCCGGCGGTCCGGCTCTTCACTGCTGCCCCGGCGGGCGGACAGCCCCCGCTGCTGAGGGGACACCGAGTGCCCCTCGCGTGTGTGTGCGTGCGTGTGTCTCGGCGGCGGCCCCACTCCGCGTCCCTGCGGAGGCGAGCGCAGCCGGGGCGCACGGGGGCCTCACCTGGCGCTGCCCGGCACCTTGCGGGAGGAGGGCGCGGGAGGGAGGCGGGGCGAGCCGCGGGCCGGGCCCGTTGCGCCGCCGCCGCCGCTGGGGGCCGGTCTCCCGCTGGGCGCGGGGGGGTGAGGCGAGGCGGCGGCTCGCGCCCGCCGTAACCGCTCCCCATCCCGCCCGCTGGTGCCGCCCTCAGCATGGCGACACGGTAGAGGAGCGGCTGCGCCGGGGCGACCGCCCCCTCCCGCCTCCTCGGCACGGGCACGGCGCGCCGCGGGCGAGCGAGCGGCCTCGGCGGCGCTGCTGCCGCCGGTGCCCCGCACAGGGCTGAGCGGCGGCGGACGAGGAGGAGGATGGCGGCAGCGGTTGCGGCGGCGGCGGGCACAGCAGCAGCAGGAGCAGCAGCAGCAGCGGCGGCGGGGCCGAGCGGCCGCGCGGCGGGAGCCAGCACCGTCCCGAGCAGCTCATGGTGGCGCCTCAGACCCGCCAGCAGCGGCCGCGCCGGGGCCGCCAGCTGAGCCGGATCCCGGCGGGCGGCTCTCCCCTCTCCACACCGACCCACCGAGCGATCCGTCCCCCTCCCCCGACGCTCCCTCTCCCCTCTCCCCGGCGCGACCCGCGCCTCAGATCGCCCCCGCCGGGGCCGGACTGTCACCACCCCCGGGCGCCGCGGGGAAGGCGGCGGCGAAGGGCACCGGGCAGCGCCAGGCGGCGGCGGGACCATGGGCGCGAAGCAGAGCAGCCCCACCGCCGCCAATGGCCGCACTCGGGCGTACTCGGGCGGGGATCTGCCTTCCTCGAGCAGCAGCAGCAGCGGCGGCGGCGGCGCT